TAATAATAAGAATAATATAAAAATATTGACATTAATGCTATAATCTGTGTGATGCCTACAGAGTTACTATTGTGTTCAATTAACTTATTTAATAAATAATTACACAATTGATTATCAACACATCATTTAATTATCATTTGATAAATAATTAATACAAGGTTAAGATATTATGCATCATCTCATTAAAAATAAGACCGTACGTCTCGTCTACTATAGTGTACGCAATCTATAGACTTTTCAATCCCATCTATAGTGTTTCGCAACCAAAGCTCTTACGATAATAATTATCTTTCAATACGATATAGAACTAAGGTAGATCATCTCATAGTGCTTCACGTGGGAGGAGAAAAATACTTGACTTGAATGTAGGAGAAAAATGTCATCGCCAGAAACTGGAAATATCATGAGATGGGCAGCGCGCAACTGCAAAGCTAGACTTTGAATGAAATCACTAATGATTAGCAAGGCAAACTCGCCGAACGATAAGTATTTCACCGTAGCGGTACAAAAAAAATGATTTCTTAATATTATAGATGATTTCCAATACTCTCTTCATGGATGGATCTCATTCGATCTGAGAGTTCAGATCGTCAAACATTGTCACGAAAAGTCATCGAAAGTTCGAGATAGAATGAGTTGATATGGATGGTGGAAAGCAGTAAAGGAGCTTTCTTACGCAGATCAGTGAGATCTTCCAGGGATATGTGTGTTCTTGTGAGAAGATATATCTACAAGGCGACAAATGTTCTATACAGTAAATAAAGTCGAAAACGGAAACGGAAACGGAAGCGAAAAGTTTATTATATAAAATCTTTTGAGAGATGGAAACGTCAATGTTAGTTACAAATAATATAACAAAATGAATATGCTTTCTAATGATAAATATGATAATGATGTAAAATTTCATTAAAAAAAAAAATAAAAAAAAAAAAAATGTTTTTATTTTCTTCTTAAGTGGGTGGAATATATTTCGGCGGGTATGTGTTGGCGTTGGCACGTATAATGCGAATTCAGGCCAATACGTACACGATAATGAAAAATCCAAATATCCATGCAAATGGAATTTCCATTGCATTTTGTTAAAAATGCGCGACGCATGTCAATTATAATATATATATATATATATATATATATGTAACGCATCAACAACCCGAACGTTCCCTGCATTTAATCAATCAAAACAATAATACCTTAAATGTTTTGGTTTAAAAGAAAAAAAATTTCCAAAGTATTTTCTATATATTAATAGCTTTACGTCCGTCCACTACCCTTAGGACTTTTTCCATGATTACATGCAGGCAGTTCCTCCAAAAAAAGGATTAGGTCATGAAGATTATTTGAGCTTGAAATTAGAATGTGATTTATAGCAATAATTAAGAATTGGATTTGGAATATTTCACCTATGTAAGATCGTCTCAACACTTGCGACGGTTTCTATTACCTACGCATGTTTACGTTACGGCGCATTTGTTAAGCTTGCTTCCGTTTGCTTATCGATAATTTGAATTTTAAGGAAAAGCGATTTCGAATTCAGTTTCAATACGAATTTAATGTTTGAGAAAAAGTCCTACGGGCTTTTAGTGATGTTTTTCCTCTTTTTTCTTTTTTTTTTCTCTAATTATAATCTAGCGGCACGTATTTAATCTAAGGCATGTGTGAGAGGGAACACATAAAGAGAATGGAATTTTTTTTGGAATTCGCTTAGTCAAGGGTAAGCAGCTGCAAATTTTTATCCACGCTTTAAACTAGATATACAGTTAGGTACAGTTACGTAAGGTTTTATTATTTTTTTTGCACCTACCATGGAAGGAGAAGTGCATGCAGTTTTACTTCAAAATTTGTAGCTTAAGCTTGGAAAGATTATATGGAACGTTCCAATTATTTCGATGTCAGTCAAATGAAAGCTTCAATCGACCTCGCCTGTGCCTACTCGGCTAATCCGGCCAATATATATATATATATCTTCGATATGCATAGTCTAATAGTGTATTTATGTAGAGAGTACTGTAATATGTTTATACAAAGTACAATAAACTCAGCACACTTTAACTATTTCACAACTTTAATGTCCCGTTCAACGACAATGGATCACATTTTGACTGTTTGTCTGACTGACGAAACAAATACAAAATTATTACAAAATAAGGAAAATTTATTAATGACAGATAAACATACATAGTTCTAAGCTATAATATTACGATTGAGAACTGTGTATAAGTCCCTACTCAATGGTATAATAAAATCATCGTTTTTATCCACCAATAAAAGTATGATGAACTGCGCCTACAAACGAGTCCAGATGCCCACTATACATACATATTTGTTTGATTTATTCTGCCGTGTCTCTATTTGTTGATAGATTGTTGTTCAATTCATTTCCATGCATTATTATTACTATAAAAGAAAAAAAGTAATACTCTCATCATATATGTCCCCCCCTCACTCTTCTTCTTCTACTCATACTTCACATAAGAGAGAAAAAAAATTAATATATACATATATGTATATAGTGTTTCGAGGTAAAATCAAAATCAGTATATATATGAAGCATGAAGCATATATATATATATATATATATATATATATATATGTAAACCTTAAGGACTCGTTGCGATATAACCTAAGTCGATATAAGTACACCTTTTCCGTTTTCCGCTTTCCGCTTTCTGTTGCAGATACACACACAACTATAAAGTTGATAGGGGAAAGCCTTGCAGTTAATTGTTACTGCAATTTATGATAGTTAATTAAGCGTGCGATGCGAGCTGCGAAACATTGCGTCCAGTGCTATTTCCAAGGTTGTTTGTTGTTGTTGTCCTGTGAAATATCTAAAACCGCATAAAACACGGCATATAGCAATTCCTGCGTTGGAGGATGAAGGCATGGTTGTTGAAATCAAATGGTTTTGTCTTTAATATTCAATGACATTTAATCATTGTGCACAAATATTTGTACAAATGTGAAAAAGAAAACAAGAATAGAAATATATTTAGCTCACTCCGAATCTCTTAACACTTAATCCCTAAGATTGACAGACAGACAGACACACACACACACACATATATATATATATATATATCGAAAGCAAGAAAAGTACATTTTATTAAAATGTATGCGAAATAACAGGTAGTGTTAACGTAACGTGCTACGTAAGCATCTTGTGGCGTAAATGTGAGATCAAATTTTTTTCTTTTTGCCTTAAATTTGATCAGCCACTCATCGGATATGCTCCATACAATTAGGCACGAAGAGAAGTGGTGGAAAGGAGACTTGCTTAGCGCTTACGTTCGTGTTCGAGTTGAAAACGAGCAAGTCTGTGGAGAGGAAGAGATTTTTATTATTTCTTTCTTCCTTATTTTTGGATTTTCTTATTTCTGATACCGCAGATGTCAGGCGGCCCGGTTGTCTGATGCAAAGGAAAGCAAAAGTTTTAAACGGATCACGTTCTAACGGAGGGTTGGCATGTCCATCGGGCACACGGGGCGTTGAGCGTTGAGCTATTAAGTGTCCAAAGATTGAGCCTTCATGGCAAGTACCGATGTGAAGAGGGAAAGACCACTGCGGTTAGATAGTTAGAAAAATCAAAGAACAAACCTTCAGGCAAGTGTGAGTACATGAGAATCCTGAATACATCGATTGGTTTTGTTCGATGGACAAACCTTTTTTCTGCATCTGCAGAGGACTTGGTAGATGAAGATATGTTAGACATAAGTACAGTGCAATTATCAAAGGAAGACTTGCTTTAAAGAATAACTTACGTATGGGAAGTTAATGGAACAGGAGATGTCTTACCCTTATGGAAACAATAGCTCTAAGAATTAAATTTCCTAATACAGAAATTTCTTAAGTGACGCTCATCAACGAATATAATGGATTTTTCAATTTATCCAATCGAAATCAAGAGAGAACAAGACTATCAACGGAGAAATAGATCGATCTAAACGACGACCTTGAAAGCGCTGCTTATACTAATCAAAGGCCTCATTACAACATTTCATTGACGCTTCACATTGGCTTTGGCTTGTTGTAAATTGCGTTAATAAGAACGAATTGGAACGGACGGCATTCAGGAATCAAATCATTGCGTCTTTATATTATGTGAAATGTATTCAGGTTATTTAGGGCGTGACAATTCGTCTTTTTCTCTTCAGATAGATTCCGTCATTTTATGATGGATTACGGCTCACGATTCAATCATATTTGCAATTTATCGGCCGAAAAAGTTGAGAATTGAATTGGAATTGTAAAAAATTCTAATTAGAATTAATGATGTTCTTCTCTATGAAAGTGTAGAGTTGCATCGAGCCGTTAAAAACCTTTTGTGTTAAAACTGAAATCGCTTTGATTCAAAAAAGTTAATCTCGAAAATATTCGAGTTGAGGTAACTTGAGTCGATGTATGTATGATATGACAATAAAGTTAATACGCTCTCTGCGATGACTAGAGAATAGTAAAATAAAATACCAAAATGCCAAAATACGACCGTCGACCGTCGACCGTCGACTGCCGACCGCCGTCTCACGTATATAAGCTCAATTGGAATTTAAAATATACGAAAAATGACTAACACACCGAAGCCATGATATAATATAAATGATTGCGTTGTGGGTTATGGTAATTCTTTCACTCTCCGGTTGCACATTTACTGATATATTGACATTGCAATTAAACACAGAAACATGACATTTTATTATTGGCATGATTGGTTATTATACAAATTATTCATTCATATGTATATGTATATAACATATATTGTAAATATATATATGATATATATATATATATGCATAGCAT